GTTGGGATCAGCCCCATCCAGCAGGGTATTATCCTCAGAGGATGGAGGTTTATGGACTCACCTAGTTCTTCCTGGATCTTCTTCTGGATGTCAGGGTACAAGGCAGCATACATGAGGCTCCAGGATAAGGCAGTTGCCACAGTGTCAAAGCCTGGATGGACAGAGGAGAGGCAGTTAGTTACCAGAAGAGGACAGATGAGTGAGTATTACAGATCCCACCATGGTAGGTCATAGAATCATCAAATCATCAAGGTTGAAAGAGACCTCTAAGATCAAGTCCAACCATTAACCTGTCACTGATATTTGCCTCAGAGTGATTCCTCCAGCACTTGTCACTGAAAAGCTCTTTTGCCTGCCCAGGAGACCAGATGAGAGCCCAGCCCAGCAGCACCTCCAAACACCCAAGAGTGTCACCCCAAGATCTCCATCTCTCCACCAGCAGCCTCCCAGAAGCACAGCTTTACTCTCAGAAACATTCTCACCTGCCCCAAAGAGGTCATAGACAATGTTAATGATCTTCTCATTGGAGAGCTGGACACGGGTATCCTCCCCTACACTCTTCTCCTGGCAGTGCTCAATCAGCGAGTCTGTGATGTCCCGGATGTGCTCCTGGGAAGAGCCAATGGGTGAGGGACATCATAGACAACTCCCCCAACCAGTGCCAACTCCTGACAGGATTTACTGCACTTGGGGGAGATTTCCTGGACAAGGTGGAGGGACAAGGAAGGGTGTACACTCTTCCCTCCATTGCCAGACAGCATCTCTGGCAGTTGTAGGTACCTCCACCCACATCCAAGAGCATCCAAACTCTTACCTTATCAAAGCTGGTGTAATGCTCCTGGACAATTCTTTGCACAAAGGCATTGAAACGCCTGTTGATGTCCTTAAAGAGCTCCATGGTGCGGCTGGGAAGGTAGCGGAGCAGGGGGATGAAGTCAGCAGGGTTGCCAGAAGCAGCCACATCCCCAAATTCATTGCCAAGGTTCACCAAGCTGAGCAGCTCCTGGTCATTGTGCTCGTAGCGCTTGCCAAAGCACATAGCGCAGATAACGTTGGCCACGGACACCACCAGGTACTGGTTAAGGTCAAACCTCTTCTCCTCCTCCATCAACTGCAAGAACTTGGTTCAGCCTCGTTGGAGACATGCTCCTCCAGCAGGCAGGTGGAGGAGGAGGTGGGGCTGGGGGCAATGGAGAAGGTCTTGAGGGCGTTCTGGGCCAGCTTCCTGCGAGCTTTCCACACCTCCCCGGAGTCGGGGCTGAAGGCCATGCTCTGCCCATTTGAAATGTACTGGGAGCTGTGCAGGTCTGGGCGCCCCATGAAGTCCTCTCCTTGCTTCACCAGGG